ATCTCATCTCTCTCTAGCTCTTCCAAGGTCCAAATGGGTATTGGTGAGATAAGAGCAAGAGAGGCAAAAAATATCTCACATCAGGACTCCCACTTGGCTACTGTTGATATACCACACAATGCCTTCATTTTGATGGGGTCATCATTTCTCTCCTGGGGCAAGTTTTGGGTACTCTGGAGGACCTCCTCTGCCTATTACATAAACTTCAGCCCCTCTCCCTCTTACTCTGCTCCAGTGACGCTGGTCTTCTTCCTATTCTCAGTGCTGGCATGTTCCTTTCTGTCTCAGAACCTTTGTTCCCTCTGCCTGGGGCCCTCTCTCCCTAGCCCTCTTTCTAGCTATATCTTAAATCAGCTCAGGCATAAATGCCTTTGAGAATCCTAACCTAAATGTTCAGCCCAGGGCAGGCCTTAATCATGCACTCTCATAGCCCCTGCAGTGAGGACATTAATTGAGTAAATAGTTATTTAACATCTATCTTCCCAACTTAAATCTGAGTTCTATGAGGGCTTGATATATAAATATTTGTAGAAAGACAGAATAAATGGATTTTCCCAATAAACTCATGAGCACTTTGACATGCCAAGCAGATGGTAGGTATTCAATAGTTATTTGTGGAACTGACAGGAAATTGAAGGCAGGAGCCATGACTATTGATCTCTGGATTCGCTATGTGACTTAGCACATAGTAGTACATAGGTATTCAACAAATACCTGGTACTTGAGTGTTTTTTGACCCCTCTCATCAGAGTTAAACCAAAAAATGGGGATTTGGCTGCAATGTAGTCCTGACCTTCACCTTATGGCTGTTCCTCAGTGTCAGCAGAAGTGTTACTGCTATCTTTGCAAATATTTATGCCAGCCAGGGCAGGGTACTGCCTTTAATCAGCTGAGTTGATATTCCATAGCCCAGGAGGAGCATGAATGTATGAAGGGATGTGGATAATGTTATCATACATCCAAAGAATGACAATTTTAACTATTTGTCCCTTTGTTCCCATTAGTACACTTGTACGTCTATCAGCTCAACCAATCCAATTCTTGGTTCCCCAAACAGGGTCACCATATGTGCCTTCAACCTGACTTGTATGGAGACTTGTTTTATTAGTCACAATTAGTTGCAGGTGCAAAGACTGAGGGCACAACTAACTGTGTCTGGAATCACCTCCTCACATATGCAATTAAACACTTGCACACTCAGAATTAGGTTCAAGTGGCTAATTGCACCCGGAAGTAGGTAATTGCAGGTGCAATTAGCTGCAAGTGCAATTTTTCACCCGAGACTAATTGCTCCCAAAGTAAGGAGATAGGGATTGGAAATTCAGCACTGAATGTATGTGTGGTTATTGCAACCACCTGTGATTTTAATAGTCCTCCCTCTCCTGATTTCCAGTGTGGTGGCCTCCCTTTGGTCTTTAGGAAGAGTTGGGTTGCTTAACTCCTTCTGTGTATTTGTTCTATGGCATTTTCTTCTCCAGTTGGGTCTTCTTTTCCTTACTGAGACTCTCTTTCTTCAGAATTTATTTCCTTTCTTTCTTCTGGAACCCCTGGCTATGTTCAAGGACACATGCCCTTTTCTGTTTAACTGTACGTAAAACTCCTTAGAATCTAAGTGAGAAATGGTCAATGACTTGAACAGCTTAGTGGGTGGTAACTTCCAATTAGGTTTTGAACACAGTTCCTTGGGAAGTACCATTTGAACATGACAGATGAAAAGCTCTTCCCCACCCTTGGGGAGGAGGAGGTGGATCACTCCATCAAAGCCCTAGAAACCTGTCTTCATGAATGAGCAGATTCCACTAGACAGATTTTTTTCCTACTAGTTTTTCTGATATCAGTAAGAGTCCAACCAGGAAGACACACACATATGATGATTATAAAATTAAAGCATCATTGGAAAATAGGATGAGTTTTGGTTTAAACTGAATACAGCGAAACTAACCAAGGAAACCAAAACTGTTAATGCTACTCCAAAGAGTCTTTCGATCATGTAAACACAATTAAGATGAGGAGTTGATCATGATAGTTATTTTAACAGGGAGAATTTAATAAAGGGAATTAATTAAACCAGTATTAGCAGTTCAAAAAGGCTAAAAACGGAATCCTGAGGTACTTCAGAGACAGCTACTGTGGAAGCAGATATGGCCCCATGGGCTGAAGAGGCAAAGGCAAAAGGCCGGGGTTGTTAGACACCGGCTACTTCGAGGAGGGTCCAGCACAGCAGAACACAGATGTCTGGAACAGTTACCTCCGCAGCTTGGAGGAGGGATCACACAGAGCTGGGACCCAGGATTTGAAGGAGGGGCACTTTCAGAGTTTGAAGAAAAGACCCTGCAGGGCTGGGAACTGAGCTTTGAGGGGGCTGCCACCCGGCTGGTGCTGCACTGCGGGCTCCCCTTTACAAAGAGCAAAACATGCCACAGGGTGTGTCCTCGATCCTGGGTCTGGTAGCCCTGGGTTGAATCAAACCAGGACAGGGCATGTTTTGACAGGAGAAGGGGAAGTGATGGCTGCAGAAAAGAAAAGGGCAAGAAGTTAGTGACTCGGAGCCTTTGCAGGTGTGTGCTTTTGTGTGTATCTCCTTTTCTCCATGTCCAGAGTTTCCCTTTGTGTGATTGATGGATTTTATCATAATGAAAGTGTGTGTGTGTGTGTGTGTGTGTGTGTAAAGAGAGAGAGAGGGAATCTATCACAGCGAGCGCAAGCTGGTGGTGGTCTTAGCAGGTGTCCACGGCCAGCAGATTTCACTTCCTTATAGCTCACCTGGCTGGTTAAAATCCTCTTTCCTCTCCTGTCTGCAAGAGCTCTGGGCTGCATGAAGCCAACCTCCTGACTTCAGCAGAGTGCTGACTCCTCCACGTCCCTGCTTAGTCATTCAGAGGTGGGACAGGATCCCACTTGCTAAGCTGGTGGCAGCCTCAGCTGAATGCCAATCTGATGGGGCAGTCGATTCCTTTGAACTCCTTCTGGCGATGGAATCTGCCATTATTCAGGCTCCGTGGTGTGCGAGGACGAGTGACAAAGCCCATGATGACAAGCAGAGATGACAGGAGAGCCGGGCGGCCGGCCTTTGACTTGGCCAGGGCACCTGGCGACGCTGCATCGCCCCAGACAGACTCTCTTGCTGCAGGCTCCGGCTGTGGGCTGTGAAGGTCACTCGGTACTTGCTGCCCACAGGAAGGCGGTGTTTACTCCGCCACAGAGCCAGGCCCCTTAATGGATTGCTCTGGCTGAGCATTTCCCCTTGGCAAGGGGAGCACATTTTCCTTTGCCCTTATCACCCTGCTTGGTTGCATTTTAGGTCTCAGGAGAGGGTACATAAATATTAGGGGAAGTTGGGTCACCTACCAGTGGTTTAGAATAAGAAAAACTTTTTTCTTCTCAGGAAAATGAATAAAAGTGCATGATAGGAAAAGCTGGAAGTTGAGGAAAGAAAAAAAGGACTTTAAAAATTCTGACTAACCCATAATAATCATGAGTAGTGTTTAAAGGTATTTCCCTACACCTCCCCTGTGTATAGTGCATCTACTCATTCATTCATCCCATAAATATTAGTTGAGTACCTATTGTGGCCAGGGGCTAGCTGAGACTCTGAATAAGAAAGATAAAAGTCTAGCTCCTTAGGGAGCATACAGTCTTGGCTGGGTTGGGAGGGGCGTCAAATATCTTGTACATATGATTTCTTGTCCTGTTACCACTCATCAGTCTACCTCATGAGGGCCTCTTGTCACCCTATCATCTTTATACCCCTTACTCTAATGATTGCACTTTACCAAGCAAAGGAAACAGAGTTCATTTAACCATGTCACGACTATCAGCTATAAGCTCTTTTCAGTTTCCACAGTTTTAAGTGAAGCTGCAATAAATATATTTGTATAAGCACATTTAAAAAAAAATCCTGGGGATCTTGGATGACTTCCTCCCTGACTGTATCTTTCACAGTATTAGGCAGAACCCTTGGTTGCAAACCACAGACTCCAAGGCTGGTTCATTTAAGAAGAGAAAGAATGTACTGGAAGGCAATTCTGTAGCTTACAGAATTGGCAGGAGGTTGGAGAACCAAGCTCAGAAAGGCAGCAAGGGGTTGGGAGGCAATAGTCTAGCCCCCAAACCCCCACCCCCCAGAACAGGCTGTGAGGACTGTGCCCAAGGCCCTCCTCACTGCCTGGGACTCTCCTCTCCACCAGCATCACCAGGAGTTTCCTTCTTCCTTGAGCCTCCGTCTCATGCCCCAATTCCAGGTTCAGGGTGGGTGTGCTGGCTTGGCCAGTTGAGGGTTCAGCCTGCTTCTCCGTCTCTAGGCAGTGAGGGGAAGGAGTAGCTATCCTGTTGGCCTTCCAGGTGGGAGGCGAGTTTCTGCCTCTCATTTCTGACAGGGTGTTTGGGTCTTGGGAAGGAAAGAGGAGAAATATCCAGCACCAACACATTCCTTTTCTTATTACATGTGTGTTTACTGCACGTGGGATGACTGAGGGTGTGGAAACATTGATTTTGCCTGCTATAGTATTAGGCATAAATACTGCTCAGCAGTACGAGGGTATGAGTCAAAGGTGCCCCACACCTCCAACAGCCCAGGGGTGCCCTGCCTGGGCACTGGGGGAAAAGAGGGTGAAATTCACATCCATTATCTCCATTTCATAGAAAAGGAAACGGGGGCTTTGAAAGGATCTGTGATTTATACTAGATCCCACAGCCAGCAAATCAGAGCCAGCTGGGACTTGATGATAGGTCTTCTGAAATACCCGAGGGTTGGTTAGACTTGTATGACCTCCCCATGCTGGGCTGGTGACTGGTAAGAGGTGCCAGGAGCCATCCCCTCCCTGGGACAAAGGCCCTTTCAACAAAGAGGCCTTTGTAACAAGCCTTTCTTTGTTTGGCTTCCAGGCTGTTCTCTGGAGTAATTAAGGCCCATAGTCCTTAGATATAAGGCTGCCTGACATCACTTGACAGTAATACAGTGATCTCTTTAGGTGCCGAAGCTGTATTAGCAGTGCATGTCCTCCTGCTCCCAGACACCTAGGCACGAGCCATGAGGCTAGACTGCCGGGCCCCTCCTGCCTGATCACTCCATGTAAGGGCAGGATCACATGCACTGGTCCTGAAGGATGGGGTGCTGGTGGCACCTCCCAGGCAGTGCCAGGCAAGAAGACTGGCATGCAGCCCTTACTGCTGGGAAAATCTTTGGAAGCTGCTGAGGGGCATCTGGCTTGCTGTTCTCTAGAGGAAGGTCACGGTCTTCTGAGGCTCTGTGGGTGTGAGTCAGACGCTGCCCCCCTGCATCTTGTCCCCCAGTGTGCAGTGCTCTCTCCCAGTGTGGTGGTGAGTACTGCTTTCTTATTTGTCTTGGGAGACATTCTCCCTAGGTTCCCATAGGATCTTGGAATCCATGATAGAAAATTGCTTTGTTTTTAGCCACCCTCTGAGAGTCTGTACCTTTATGTTAAAAACTCCTCATCTAGAGGAGAAAGGACAAGCTCCACTCAACCTAGGGGTAGGGAATTAGCCTTCCTCAGACTTGTCCCAGTGGGTACCTTGAGGAACACTAGACATAAATTTGGCCTTTGCCCTCACAAAGCTTCCATATTTCAAAGCAACCAGGATTCAGAGGGGATGAGAGAGAAGCCTCTGTCACTACGGGCTGTGCCCTGTGTCATGGCCTTGCCAGGGCAGCCTGCCTCTGCTGGAACCTTCTCTCCAGCAGTTCCTGGACCTGGCAAAGGAGGGCTCCAAGGGTATAAGTTAAGGTAGAATTTTGGCACTGGCAGAGTTAACATTTACAGGTTCAACTATTTGTGGGCGCCCTCATGACGTGAAATGACTTTCAATTTTGCTGAAGCGCACATTTCCATCTCGTGGGGTGGGTGAGTCACTCCACCACTGAGAACTCGGCACCACGGTTTCCGCAGCTTTGGGCTCTCAGTTCCTCATCACCAAAGGCAAGTGTGAAGGGTCTTTAAACGTCATCAGTGTTGGGGAGTCTGCAGAATCGTGAGGGGATTAGGCTGAGCGACCTGCAATGTGGTGGTACCTAGTATCTCAGTGCACCTCACCACTTCCTCTCAGTGTGGGGTGGGCTCAGGCCCACCCTGGGGTTCCACAGCACCAGAGGCTGGGAGGAAGGAGTGTCCTCCCCAGTGCATGCCATCTAGGGCTGCATCGTGTGCAGAGGATTTAAACCCAATAATAAAATCAACTGTAAGTCAGTCTGCTTTTTATTATCCCCAGGCCAGCAATTCTAAACAATGTCAGTGATAAAATAATCCTCCCCCCACATCTTTTTTGGTTCACTTTCTAAACAGTTGCTGTGGTGACTGTTGAATTTTAATTATATACTTATATATGTTTCTGTACATGTTAACATATATGTATATTCAGATACACATATGTGCATATGCATCTGTATACACACACTTCAGATGTGAACATTTTATTAATTATTCTTTAATAAATATTTTCTATGTGAAAGTTAATTCTAACTCCCTGTGAGGAAGAGTAGCTCGAGACGGTTCAAGCTGGCCTCGGGCCTGGCAGGTGTCTAAAGCCTCTGTGGCATTAGGTATGCTGGCATTTAAACAGGGTGAGGGTGCTGTGATTACAAAACCAGGACAAAAATAATCCCAATTCAATTCTGTCATTCCTTCATGTGACCACTTGGAATTTAAATTTGTGTTTAAAACGTAGTAAACGCAAATTTTAGTTCATACATGAAATGTTTGCCTGAAAAATATCCTTAAAATTAAATTTTTTTCCTTTAAAATTATTGTTTTTAAAGCTAATGAATGAATCATGAGATGAAGAATAAAGTCTGATTACCACTGAAAATAATTTTATCATATAGAGGCAGAGATTCAAAACATGACGTATTTGGGTGTCCAGTGGCCAGGCCTGCCACCACCTGTGCTAACTGAGACAACTTGTAGGCATCATGCATCTCGTTGAGACAGGAGGGGATTATGGGTCAGGTATTAGTTGGCCTACAGCGTTTTGGAAAGGTTAGGCATGCAGTTTAAGTTGGAGCTTCTAGAAATGATTCCCGTTCCCAGAATGACCCTAACTCTGATGTGCCTGAGAACACCAAGTCTCTATGTCTACTGCAGGACTACTGTTTCTCCAAGATCTGGGCCAGCGGAGTCAAGAGCTTATGCCCTGCTTCTCACCCACTTACCTGGGCTCCTGAGTGAACATCTGGGTGGAGGAAACCTAGCAGCAAAGGAACAATAGAAGCTTGTAGCTTTGAGTCTCATTTTCAGAGTGGGCAGCGCAGAAGGTCCCAGGGGGTGTTTGGAAGGGAAGTTGAGTGAGCTAGTCCACAGCTTCCTCTACATCTTACCACCATCTCTGCATTTGACCTTTGGCTATGGAGGGCTCAGGACTCCCCTGTCTGACAGCCAGGCTCTTTGCTGCTGTCTTCTGGGTAAAGCAGCTGCCTCTGTAACCACGCATTTCCTAAGCAGCCATTTCTGTTCTGTCCTCAACCCCTGGCTCCCCTGGAAGCTTCCCCACCTGCGCTCTTCAGAGTGGATCGAACTTCTGGCTGGTATCCCACATATCTCTGAATCTTCACCTCAATTCGCAAACTTCTATTGGGCTTGAGTTGCTCCCCAACACCCATAGCTCTTCCTCATGCCACCAGAATCTCCACTCCACTTGGGACATGTTTCTTTGTCATCATTTTTATTCCTTAATTTTTTTCCTTTTTAGATATACATGACAGTAGAGTGTATTTTGACATATTGCACATTTTTTTAAGTTGTAGATGGACACAATACCTTTTTTAAAAAAAATTATTTTAATGTGGTGCTGAGGCTTAAACCCAGTGCCCCACACATGCTAGGCAAACACTCTACCACTGAGCTACAACCCCAGCCCAATTTTTATTCTTTCACAATAACTTTACTCAGGGAATTTTTCTCAATACACATTGGGCCATTAAAATACAATCTGTCCTCAAAGAGTTTTCACTATCATTCTCCTAACATTAAAAATGTTCTAACTGGCATCTACACTTGGTCTGTCAATCTCAACCCTCCTGCCCTTCTCAGGGGAAGTAGATGTTTGCTGGTGCTGCTGAAATCCAGGGATAGGTTTCATTATGACTGGTCTAGTGGGTGGCATTTCAGGGAAGAGCAGGATGCAACCTTGGCCAGCAGGTACCAAGTGAGATCAGCCTCCTCTAGGAGGTTTGAATCCAGTGTCCTGCCCATAGCTCAGAGGACAGGGCTCACTGGGCAGCCACATCGCTGCTGAAAATCCTGCTCCAGAGATGGGGAGAAAATATCATGTGCGAATCTGTATCAGAACAGGCTGGCCTTTTTTTCTGTTGAAGACTCTTAACAGCTGTGAGATCATAGACCAGTCACTTAACCTCTTTGAGAACGATGTTTCTTAAAATGAAGATGATTCTGGTGTGATGGGTTTGACAAAAGGTGTCAAAGAAGAAGCAGGATGTAGAATTTGTGGCAATGGGGGATCTCCTTCCTGATTGTCCTTGGAGGAAATTCCTGCGATAACAGAGATTATCAAGATGGCAGGCTATTCCTCCCTCCACCCCACTTGGCCCCCTGCCATCATCAGGACTTTTGAAAATGTGTCCAGACTCCTGAGTCCCACCATTGAATGGAGCTGAGGGCCTGACAATGTCCGAGTTTCCTTCTCTGCCCACTAACTCCCACAGGTTCACACACTCATCTGAAGCCTTCCCCTTCTTTCTAGTAGCCTCCTGGTGGCAACTCTACTTTCTTTCTAAGAATGGGACAGAGCATCTGACCCATGACGATTAGCTTCACTGCACATGGGAAATCTCATTTCTTATTGATCTTGGGATGCTTTTCAGAAATCCATGTGCTCTTGAATGCAGTTTTGCAGTGTCCTGCAAGGAGACACCACATGTGCAGCTCTATAAGCACATGCACGCATGTATACATACACATATATATTTGTGTATATATATATATATATATATATATATACACACACACACACACACACACACAAATAGGCACATATGCTTGTATGTACGTATATAGATTACATGTACATTTATTATATATATATGTGTAAAATTTATTTCTTCCTGGGTTTTCATTCAGTGGAGTAACAAGACATCTTGCCGGTGCCTCCAACAAACCAGAAAGGGAAACACAGTGAAGATGAGACTCTTTTCCAAAGATGCAGCTAATTCCAACCAGCACATTAAGATTCTGAAGTTAAGAGCACATTGTAAAATGTGAATCGATGTGACATTGTCAAACAAAATGACCTGTGGGCTTGGGAGGTTGGCGCTTGTAGGAAGAGGCCAAAGTGTGCATCTTAATCTTGATTTCCTTTGGGACTGTTTCCACCATTGTGTTCCTGACTCTGATTATGTTCTTGTGCAATCAAACTAGCTCTAGTTCCCAGGGTTGGACAGCTCCTTTTCTCTCTCTCTCTCTCTCTCTCTCTCTCTCTCTCTCTCTCTCTCTTTCTTTTATTTAGCCAGGACCCGGTATGATTGCTGTTTTGTTTGGGTTTTGTTTTGATCAGAAACAATGGTTTAGTTTTTGAGTTATGAGCATACATGTGTTCACAAAATCCCATCCAAATAGAAGGAAAAGGATTGGATTAAAAGTCCTGCTTGGTGGATAAACAATTTAATGCACAGGAGCCTTGGAAAGCCATTTTAGCAATCAGGGGTTTGACCTCAAAATGGCACAAACAATCCAGTAGGTGAGCACAGATTTCTTCATTTATATCCATAATCTTAGGATATATCAAACCTTTAACCTTAAGAAAATTTCAGAGGGAATTTGTATTTAACGCCAAGCTTATCTTTGGCTTGGTTTTAACTGTGTAGTAGAGATTGGGCAAGCTGGATAATAATAGAGATTCTGAATTCCAATACAGGGTCTGTCTTCCCTACCTTTTTCTCCCCGTCCACACAGGATCTGGAAACTTCTCTGCTGCATATCAGCTTTGCTATTTTATTTGGGGATCTTGAACACAGTATAGTATTTAGAGTTTCCATCCATCTCCATATCTGGACTTCACTTAGACGCTCCCTAAGCTCTCTTTCAATTTCTTTGCTATGTACTTCAGTGAACTGCAAACAAACAGATCATTTTCCTGATGGTGATAAAGTCGGTAATAGACTTTACTTCATTGCCTAGTGCCCTTCAGATATGCTTGCTACAAAACTCCTCAGCAGAACAAATATAGTTACTGAATTTGGTTACTGGTACACAATGAAATAATAGCTAAATAACACAGTTACATGGTTATAATATAGTTAAATCATGCAGCAAGTTGCACACAATAGCAAATGCAGTTAGGCAGAGAGAATG